GTGCACACATTTAGCAATCGGCTCTCTTAGATTCATCTCGTAAGAAGCAGTAGAACGCGGAGATGCTGTAACCTGAAGCTCAGGGCTAGACAACTTTCAGTAACGCGGAACACAGCCTTGTCCCTACAAGTTTTATTGACAGATATTTCGCGAGATTGATGGTTCTCACGGTGTCCAGTATGAATAAACAGGCTGTCTTCTGGGTTGTTGTGCGGTGTAGTCTTGTAGACGTTTACCAAAGACTCATTTTCCTGAGCACATCTGAAACGTCAGTAAACTACCAACGAGATAACAATCTTAAGATATTTTGAGGTTTCCCTCAGACTCCAAACTCGGACGACGGAATAAATTCTAATAGGTCATGGCGGACTTCTACCTAATATTTACTTACAATTCAAGGCTATCTACTAACCCTATTTCAAGGTACAAAATCTTTGTGATTGAATTAGTGTTGTTTAATAAATTACTGTTCAAGGTACAAAATCTTTGTGATTGAAATAGTGTTGTTTAATAAATTACTCTTTATGGCAGTCCAACTTAAACTACTCATACCGATGAGAAGTATTTTATTTGACGCAAGAACTGGTATAATTTATAAAACAAACGATCTAAAGAGACAGTTTTACACATTGCACTGTTACATAAAGAGAAATTTAATATTGGTGAATAATTTTAATAAAAAATCTTGGATTTCCTATTACGTGTAAAAAATCCGACTAATAAGATCAGAGAGTGTAAGTTCAGAAAAGAAAGCAGAATATAAGCCATCCGAATCCACAGTGTTTTAGGAACTGCACGCATTGTGTGAGTCTCAAGAATGAAATATGATCATTCGTGACACGTGTTCTATGAAATTCGCCAGAAATTTCTCCATAAAGAAAGTGAAGGTTTAAATGAAACATTTCACTTCTACACTTAATATCACTGACTCACATTTGTTCTAGCTCCTGCTAAGCACTATACTCGTGTTATTTTGCTATAAACACAACCACATTTATGAGATTCAATCCAACAAAATAACTAATTGCCATTATAAGTAATTTTTATGAAAGTTTCACAGTCCGTCTGGAGTGAGCAATCACCATTATACGTAGATCTTCACGTGGAGAAACTCAGATAATTATAGGACTAACGGGGAGATGGGGTTATTGGGTTATTGTGCTGTTGCCATCACAAGCTGACACAGTAAGGTGACGTTAGTTAAACAGGCCATCTTGTGGCCCAATGTAACACCAAGTCTGTATATATGGTTGTTGATTTATAATTAATGCACCTGTTTTCTAACTCGTAATATACACAGCTTGGCGTATTATGCATCAAAATCAATAATAAAATGTTGTATTCTCTTATTTGCAATAAAACCCATCCTAAATGCATGATGTTTCTTGTGTCAGCTGTAAAACACCTTTCACCGCCCGTCTCATTTACTGTATAGCAGTCACATCCAGCTCTTATTCAATTGATCAACGTTTTAAGAGCTCTGCGTCAGTATGGGGATAGTATATTCCATAATCCAAATATTATTTTCTTTAATCGTTTGCAATTCAACGTTTTAAGAGCTCTGCGTCAGTATAGAGATAGCATATTCCACAATCCATATTGTAAGTCCTTTAATCGTTTGCAATGCCAAATAGTCCAGTTCGGCTGTCGCCTTCCTGGATTTCGTAACAATTTGTTACCCCACTTTGGAGATCAGGCCTTTAAATTTATGTCCTCCGGAGACAGAGTGGCCCATCTGTACCCCCAGGCACAAAGTTTTCCTTTTAATCGCCTCTTATGACACGCAGAGGTACAGTAGATATATTCTTCTCCGTTTCCACACGGAGATCATCATTGATTATCGGAAATTAAAATGTAAAAATCTGTCTAGGCTTCAGTGGCATGAAGTGATTACCCTATACCATAATATCGATTACATAATTCAAGGGTTAGAAAGGATGGACGACAAAGACATTATTATTATCACACAGGACTATATTTTTTTTCCTTAAAGTAAAATAGGTTATAATACTGGGAACATAGATCTGTGGTCGATTGGGCACAGCGTCCGAAAGGGGTTAGACAAGAACTTTCTTTTCTCGTTTTAAAATGTCAAATTGTCCAAACTCTCTGGATTTACGTCAAGACACAGTGACGAGTCGCAGAGCAAAAGTTCAGAGACGCTGTTCTGGTACTTTCAGTGTAATTTGCATTCAGTTGTAACATTCAATGCAACCGTCTTCTTCAACGGTGTGAAGTTCAAGGTAGCCTAAAGGCCAGTGAAAGTCTAACGCAATGCCTCTGTTATGGAATACACTGGAAGGCCAAATGTAGAACATAACACTTACTTTCGTATGAATTGTTACAGAGATGGTGTAACTTGACATCACGTCATTTTACACGAAACATAAAATAACTCCAATATTGCGACTGTGAATTTCTGGGTTGTGACGCCGTGTAGATTTTTAAGCGGTTATCAAAGTTTCGGAGAAACTTATAGCATCTGTCTTCAGAGATCGCACTTATATTCGTTTCTAGCTTTATTCAATGATACTGAATCAATTGTAAAAGATTTATATCTTAGTTTTAATCAGAAATAGTATGATTATAAATAATTCGAAGGATAAATTGGGAATCGATCGTGGCCTACTTCATGGTGGTTACACTTTCTTTAAGTAACTGCGGTGGTGCAAGATAATCGATACTCGGATGATTTTCGAATATACTACTTTCAGATTACGAAATCTAACTACTAAAACTGGCTTCATTCGCTATCAATGCGATGTTAGGTACAAATGTTCGCCTGAAGGCTTATCAAATTCTTTGTCCAGTGTCTGATTTAAGTACCAATATTCTATAAACCTCATTCTGGCAAATACAAATAACTTCATGAACTCACTACCCCACTCAGACGTTTGCAATCTATAAGTCTACTCTGGATTCGAATTGACCTAATACATAAACATATTTATTCATAAGTTTAAATAGTATTTATGACTTATGCACATTCGAATAATTCTCTTGGCCTAACGCAAGTCGCACAGGTCTTAAACTTTATTCAGAACTCCTACATATATTTTATAAGACATAATCATTTCTATAAATGTGTGAAACGGTAAATAAACTTTGCATAATTTGCGACACGAAATTTCATAAACTTGTGGCTTTAGTGTCGTTCCCACCTTGCGAGTTAACACAATTCTTATATTTATGATACGGCAAAATATTAAACGGTAGAAGGGCAATCAGGGTTCTGGTAGAATAATGTCTGTACCAAGATTCATGAAAGTATATGAATTTCTTTAGAGAGGAAATTCACAAAGATGATCATTCAGACACACGGGCATGACGTCATACGTTTAACTTTTCTTTCAAAAAATTGATAATAGACTAATGAGACAAAGATGTGACCAAAATACTTGACGCTTCAGCCACCGAAACAGACGAATCGTGACGAACGAGGCGAAATTATTGGCCACGCCATGTTGAAAACATTTATCACAGATAACAGTTCCATATGCCAGTTCAATCCGCGAAGTCAGAGCCATAGTGTCAGTTACTTGAACGCTCTGTTTGTGTTTTAAGATTTTATTTCGTTGATAAAAAGTACGATATTTCTGTTCATATAGTTCATTTTCTTGAGGTCAATGCTCTTTAAATTACTAGTAGAGTCGCTAACAATTTCAAGGTCAATCACACGCCAATTTATATTAAAATGAAGTTGCTCGAATACAACTGTCAAATTTACGTAGGATTTGAGGTTTTCACTACGGTGAGTCTGATGATGGCTGTCCTCTGAGTTGTTGTGCCGTTTAGTCTGGTAGAAGACAGCCATCTTGAACTGTAAAATTTCTTGTAATGATTTATGGATTTTAACCATGCAGGTCGTGATAGCTTTATCTCTGGCAGCGACAGTTCTGGCCCAAAGACAACAGTACTTTGACAACGAACAGGGCTCAGTGAGGAAGCCGCAGCCAGTGGATGATCAGAGGCCTTCCTCGTCACAGGATCGTTACACCACACCAATACCCATAATCCGGTTCGACAAAGAACAAAGCGCAGATGGCAGCTACAAAACAAGGTACGTTGTTACGAAGTCCGGTGATCGGGTAAGGCTTTCCCGGCTAGCGGGCTAGTGGGTAACATTACAGACTGCCCGTTTGTTCGGCCTGTTCCTCGCCCTTTATGGCCTGCCTGCACGTTGAATATTGAATCAATAAAATATACTTACAAAATTCAGTTTTGGTTTCAGAAACATAGATATGAAATCCATCATTCCGAGAATTAATTCGAATAAATGTTGTGGCCTCTAATTAAACATTACGTCCGAAAGCCCACTTGCAGTTAAATGTATCGGTTCAAGAAGAGACTAATGGGAACTAAAGAACAATGATCATACAGCTGAAATTATACGTTTCTGTGAACTACGCTAAATCCTAGACAGCAGTTACTTTACCTGAAAGTTATAAAATATAACAAAAATTTCAGTGTGTGATTTTTTTTGTAATTTGTAATCTACATAAACTTTTCATAAAATATTTCAGGTAAGCTGTTAATCTACCTTAAGCACAATTTAACTTTCCGCCTTCTCTTATTATCTGTCATAAAGCCGAAAGTTAAAAGTACATGCTTCACTCAATGGCCTTGGTGTTATTGTATGTTCTGCAAAAAATAACTACATCTCAAGACAGGTAGCATATTTTAAAAATTCTGTACAACATAAGTTTTCTGGTATCTGAAAGGTGATAGTCTCAAAAGAATAATATCAGTGGTTCAAAATCAAAGCTGTCAGTAGGCCCCACCAAACTTCTACCAGACTAGACGACGTTACAACTCAGAAGGCAGCCATCCTCTTATTCACCGCCGGAGAACCCGAAATCGTGCCTATAATAAAGTTAATTAAGGGAAGGAACTTAATTTCTGTTGCTCGAGTATCTTACGTTTCTGCAAGCTTCCAACGGATATTAACTTTTCTAAGACATTGAACTCTATGTGAGGATCTCTTAAGAACTCTCCAGTAATAAAGCAGATTACTTTCAACAGGCATTAAAAGCATGCCACTGGACGCCACACTGGCACGACTTTAATTCGGAAATTGAAAAATGTGGACAATTTTGTCACATTTTCTGGTAGATAGTATCATTAACTTCAGGAATCTAAAATTAGGTGAAATTTACTTCACATCATATATAATGTATACACCACCACACTAAGACACAAAACTGACAATTAAGAGGTGCAGTAATTACAGTGTGCATTGTACTTGTCGCAAAAATATTTATTTTCTTTTTGAACGTCTGTGTTGTTAACATGGCGACTACGGGGTTGGTGATAACATATCTGATGACGATAACCAACGCACGACTATAAAAGATTAGTTGCATATATAATAAATTTTACATTTCTTGTCTAGCTTCAAGAAGTATAAACCTTCGTTTCTTCAAAAACTTCTAGTTCCTTAGCTAGTTTAGGAATTCCCCACCCACACGAAGGTTCAGTTGCGCTACGTAGTTTGGCAGAAATTAGCTGAAGTTTAAAATGTGCGAAATGCCTCCATCATAAACACCTCTCAAACGCCAGTCAATATCTACAAAATATGGCGTAACATCCCAGAAGACAGTTATCTTTATACTAGCTGCCGTAAGAACCTGAAATCTCACCTTGTACGTAGCTAGTTACCAACTTTTCGAAAGAACATATCGTTTCCATCTTCAAAATAGAAATCTCTGCAAGAATACACGGACTCGCAGTTCAGAATATCACGCACTTTATTTTCACAGCCGTAAATAAATCAGTTGTCATCAACCACTAAAAGTCTCGCAGTAGTCATTAAAACATTTCAAAGAAAGAAGAAGTCAGAAGTTAATCACAAATCTGTTTTAGAGTCTTTATAGTGATAATGTATTTTAAAATTAAAATCTAATAAAGAACATGTGACGTTAAGTAGATCTATATTCTGACTGTAATAATTGCCACTCATTGCTGCCTTAACAACGCAATTTTCTTAGAAGGGTTTTAAAACCTCATACAAGAAGCGATGTTTTCTGTTTGAGGTTAGTGTGACATTTCGAAAGCCGTGCACACATTTAGCAATCGGCTCTCTTAGATTCATCTCGTAAGAAGCAGTAGAACGCGGAGATGCTGTAACCTGAAGCTCAGGGCTAGACAACTTTCAGTAACGCGGAACACAGCCTTGTCCCTACAAGTTTTATTGACAGATATTTCGCGAGATTGATGGTTCTCACGGTGTCCAGTATGAATAAACAGGCTGTCTTCTGGGTTGTTGTGCGGTGTAGTCTTGTAGACGTTTACCAAAGACTCATTTTCCTGAGCACATCTGAAACGTCAGTAAACTACCAACGAGATAACAATCTTAAGATATTTTGAGGTTTCCCTCAGACTCCAAACTCGGACGACGGAATAAATTCTAATAGGTCATGGCGGACTTCTACCTAATATTTACTTACAATTCAAGGCTATCTACCTACCCTATTTCAAGGTACAAAATCTTTGTGATTGAATTAGTGTTGTTTAATAAATTACTGTCTTTATGGCAGTCCAACTTAAACTACTCATACCGATGAGAAGTATTTTATTTGACGCAAGAACTGGTATAATTTATAAAACAAACGATCTAAAGAGACAGTTTTACACATTGCACTGTTACATAAAGAGAAATTTAATATTGGTGAATAATTTTAATAAAAAATCTTGGATTTCCTATTACGTGTAAAAAATCCGACTAATAAGATCAGAGAGTGTAAGTTCAGAAAAGAAAGCAGAATATAAGCCATCCGAATCCACAGTGTTTTAGGAACTGCACGCATTGTGTGAGTCTCAAGAATGAAATATGATCATTCGTGACACGTGTTCTATGAAATTCGCCAGAAATTTCTCCATAAAGAAAGTGGAGGTTTAAATGAAACATTTCACTTCTACACTTAATATCACTGACTCACATTTGTTCTAGCTCCTGCTAAGCACTATACTCGTGTTATTTTGCTATAAACACAACCACATTTATGAGATTCAATCCAACAAAATAACTAATTGCCATTATAAGTAATTTTTATGAAAGTTTCACAGTCCGTCTGGAGTGAGCAATCACCATTATACGTAGATCTTCACGTGGAGAAACTCAGATAATTATAGGACTAACGGGGAGATGGGGTTATTGGGTTATTGTGATGTTGCCATTACAAGCTGACACAGTAAGGTGAGTTTAGTTAAATAGGCCATCTTGTGGCACAATGTAACACCAAGTCTGTACATATGGTTGTTGGTTTATAATTAATACACCTGTTTTCTAACTCGTAATCTACACAGCTTGGGCAATTATGCATCAAAATCGATAATAAAATGTTGTATTCTCTTATTTGCAATAAAACCCATCCTAAATGCATGATGTTTCTTGTGTCAGCTGTAAAACACCTTTCACCGCCCGTCTCATTTACTGTATAGCAGTCACATCCAGCTCTTATTCAATTGATCAACGTTTTAAGAGCTCTGCGTCAGTATGGGGATAGTATATTCCATAATCCAAATATTATTTTCTTTAATCGTTTGCAATTCCAAATAGTCCAGTTCGGCTGTCGCCTTCTTGGATTTCGTAACAATTTGTTACCCCCACTTTGGAGATCAGGCCTTTAAATTTATGTCCTCCGGAGACAGAGTGGCCCATCTGTACCCCCAGGCACAAAGTTTTCCTTTTAATCGCCTCTTATGACACGCAGAGGTACAGTAGATATATTCTTCTCCGTTTCCACACGGAGATCATCATTGATTATCGGAAATTAAAATGTAAAAATCTGTCTAGGCTTCAGTGGCATGAAGTGATTACCCTATACCATAATATCGATTACATAATTCAAGGGTTAGAAAGGATGGACGACAAAGACATTATTATTATCACACAGGACTATATTTTTTTTCCTTAAAGTAAAATAGGTTATAATACTGGGAACATAGATCTGTGGTCGATTGGGCACAGCGTCCGAAAGGGGTTAGACAAGAACTTTCTTTTCTCGTTTTAAAATGTCAAATTGTCCAAACTCTCTGGATTTACGTCAAGACACAGTGACGAGTCGCAGAGCAAAAGTTCAGAGACGCTGTTCTGGTACTTTCAGTGTAATTTGCATTCAGTTGTAACATTCAATGCAACCGTCTTCTTCAACGGTGTGAAGTTCAAGGTAGCCTAAAGGCCAGTGAAAGTCTAACGCAATGCCTCTGTTATGGAATACACTGGAAGGCCAAATGTAGAACATAACACTTACTTTCGTATGAATTGTTACAGAGATGGTGTAACTTGACATCACGTCATTTTACACGAAACATAAAATAACTCCAATATTGCGACTGTGAATTTCTGGGTTGTGACGCCGTGTAGATTTTTAAGCGGTTATCAAAGTTTCGGAGAAACTTATAGCATCTGTCTTCAGAGATCGCACTTATATTCGTTTCTAGCTTTATTCAATGATACTGAATCAATTGTAAAAGATTTATATCTTAGTTTTAATCAGAAATAGTATGATTATAAATAATTCGAAGGATAAATTGGGAATCGATCGTGGCCTACTTCATGGTGGTTACACTTTCTTTAAGTAACTGCGGTGGTGCAAGATAATCGATACTCGGATGATTTTCGAATATACTACTTTCAGATTACGAAATCTAACTACTAAAACTGGCTTCATTCGCTATCAATGCGATGTTAGGTACAAATGTTCGCCTGAAGGCTTATCAAATTCTTTGTCCAGTGTCTGATTTAAGTACCAATATTCTATAAACCTCATTCTGGCAAATACAAATAACTTCATGAACTCACTACCCCACTCAGACGTTTGCAATCTATAAGTCTACTCTGGATTCGAATTGACCTAATACATAAACATATTTATTCATAAGTTTAAATAGTATTTATGACTTATGCACATTCGAATAATTCTCTTGGCCTAACGCAAGTCGCACAGGTCTTAAACTTTATTCAGAACTCCTACATATATTTTATAAGACATAATCATTTCTATAAATGTGTGAAACGGTAAATAAACTTTGCATAATTTGCGACACGAAATTTCATAAACTTGTGGCTTTAGTGTCGTTCCCACCTTGCGAGTTAACACAATTCTTATATTTATGATACGGCAAAATATTAAACGGTAGAAGGGCAATCAGGGTTCTGGTAGAATAATGTCTGTACCAAGATTCATGAAAGTATATGAATTTCTTTAGAGAGGAAATTCACAAAGATGATCATTCAGACACACGGGCATGACGTCATACGTTTAACTTTTCTTTCAAAAAATTGATAATAGACTAATGAGACAAAGATGTGACCAAAATACTTGACGCTTCAGCCACCGAAACAGACGAATCGTGACGAACGAGGCGAAATTATTGGCCACGCCATGTTGAAAACATTTATCACAGATAACAGTTCCATATGCCAGTTCAATCCGCGAAGTCAGAGCCATAGTGTCAGTTACTTGAACGCTCTGTTTGTGTTTTAAGATTTTATTTCGTTGATAAAAAGTACGATATTTCTGTTCATATAGTTCATTTTCTTGAGGTCAATGCTCTTTAAATTACTAGTAGAGTCGCTAACAATTTCAAGGTCAATCACACGCCAATTTATATTAAAATGAAGTTGCTCGAATACAACTGTCAAATTTACGTAGGATTTGAGGTTTTCACTACGGTGAGTCTGATGATGGCTGTCCTCTGAGTTGTTGTGCCGTTTAGTCTGGTAGAAGACAGCCATCTTGAACTGTAAAATTTCTTGTAATGATTTATGGATTTTAACCATGCAGGTCGTGATAGCTTTATCTCTGGCAGCGACAGTTCTGGCCCAAAGACAACAGTACTTTGACAACGAACAGGGCTCAGTGAGGAAGCCGCAGCCAGTGGATGATCAGAGGCCTTCCTCGTCACAGGATCGTTACACCACACCAATACCCATAATCCGGTTCGACAAAGAACAAAGCGCAGATGGCAGCTACAAAACAAGGTACGTTGTTACGAAGTCCGGTGATCGGGTAAGGCTTTCCCGGCTAGCGGGCTAGTGGGTAACATTACAGACTGCCCGTTTGTTCGGCCTGTTCCTCGCCCTTTATGGCCTGCCTGCACGTTGAATATTGAATCAATAAAATATACTTACAAAATTCAGTTTTGGTTTCAGAAACATAGATATGAAATCCATCATTCCGAGAATTAATTCGAATAAATGTTGTGGCCTCTAATTAAACATTACGTCCGAAAGCCCACTTGCAGTTAAATGTATCGGTTCAAGAAGAGACTAATGGGAACTAAAGAACAATGATCATACAGCTGAAATTATACGTTTCTGTGAACTACGCTAAATCCTAGACAGCAGTTACTTTACCTGAAAGTTATAAAATATAACAAAAATTTCAGTGTGTGATTTTTTTTGTAATTTGTAATCTACATAAACTTTTCATAAAATATTTCAGGTAAGCTGTTAATCTACCTTAAGCACAATTTAACTTTCCGCCTTCTCTTATTATCTGTCATAAAGCCGAAAGTTAAAAGTACATGCTTCACTCAATGGCCTTGGTGTTATTGTATGTTCTGCAAAAAATAACTACATCTCAAGACAGGTAGCATATTTTAAAAATTCTGTACAACATAAGTTTTCTGGTATCTGAAAGGTGATAGTCTCAAAAGAATAATATCAGTGGTTCAAAATCAAAGCTGTCAGTAGGCCCCACCAAACTTCTACCAGACTAGACGACGTTACAACTCAGAAGGCAGCCATCCTCTTATTCACCGCCGGAGAACCCGAAATCGTGCCTATAATAAAGTTAATTAAGGGAAGGAACTTAATTTCTGTTGCTCGAGTATCTTACGTTTCTGCAAGCTTCCAACGGATATTAACTTTTCTAAGACATTGAACTCTATGTGAGGATCTCTTAAGAACTCTCCAGTAATAAAGCAGATTACTTTCAACAGGCATTAAAAGCATGCCACTGGACGCCACACTGGCACGACTTTAATTCGGAAATTGAAAAATGTGGACAATTTTGTCACATTTTCTGGTAGATAGTATCATTAACTTCAGGAATCTAAAATTAGGTGAAATTTACTTCACATCATATATAATGTATACACCACCACACTAAGACACAAAACTGACAATTAAGAGGTGCAGTAATTACAGTGTGCATTGTACTTGTCGCAAAAATATTTATTTTCTTTTTGAACGTCTGTGTTGTTAACATGGCGACTACGGGGTTGGTGATAACATATCTGATGACGATAACCAACGCACGACTATAAAAGATTAGTTGCATATATAATAAATTTTACATTTCTTGTCTAGCTTCAAGAAGTATAAACCTTCGTTTCTTCAAAAACTTCTAGTTCCTTAGCTAGTTTAGGAATTCCCCACCCACACGAAGGTTCAGTTGCGCTACGTAGTTTGGCAGAAATTAGCTGAAGTTTAAAATGTGCGAAATGCCTCCATCATAAACACCTCTCAAACGCCAGTCAATATCTACAAAATATGGCGTAACATCCCAGAAGACAGTTATCTTTATACTAGCTGCCGTAAGAACCTGAAATCTCACCTTGTACGTAGCTAGTTACCAACTTTTCGAAAGAACATATCGTTTCCATCTTCAAAATAGAAATCTCTGCAAGAATACACGGACTCGCAGTTCAGAATATCACGCACTTTATTTTCACAGCCGTAAATAAATCAGTTGTCATCAACCACTAAAAGTCTCGCAGTAGTCATTAAAACATTTCAAAGAAAGAAGAAGTCAGAAGTTAATCACAAATCTGTTTTAGAGTCTTTATAGTGATAATGTATTTTAAAATTAAAATCTAATAAAGAACATGTGACGTTAAGTAGATCTATATTCTGACTGTAATAATTGCCACTCATTGCTGCCTTAACAACGCAATTTTCTTAGAAGGGTTTTAAAACCTCATACAAGAAGCGATGTTTTCTGTTTGAGGTTAGTGTGACATTTCGAAAGCGTGAAGCGTTAAAGTTTATTAACCAAACTGTGATGCAAGCCCATCTACACTAGGAAGACTTCTGCTGAGAACATGTTACAGCGTAGAACATTTGTTAGTACACACGAATGTGTCAGGATTATTTGTTACGTAATCTACGAGTAGTTTCATTGCTCTGAGTCGCTGTAGAGGTTACTGTGGACGTGCTAAATGCCACCTGTTGCATGATTCGAAACAACTGACAATCGAGATGCGCGTGACATTCCTGCGCTCTGTTCTTTAAGGTTACTTCTTCACAAACTGGGCGTTTCAGAGATGTAACAGAAAACCTTTTGTCTGCATTTAAAAGAGTTCTTCTTGCAGTGGGTGGAAACCAGATGGGTTTTTGTTTATTTCGTTCCCATTTGTGCCCAGCATGCTCTGCGGCAATAAACGGAATACAAGTTATCTCGGAGTTTTAAATCACATGTTCGCAATTATCACACGACCAATAAGGTTATGTGACTGCATTGTTCTCAGCAAGACTTTAAACCTGTAATCCGTACTGGAATATACATGTGTTGTTTTTTTCTTGCAAATTCTGGATTATTAACAACAGACTGCGTTATTTGCCTTACTTTAAACAAGTTTAGTTTTTAGGCTTATACAAGTCATGTGGACTTCGTTCCTTATTCAAGTAATATAAATCAATACCAATACGTCACAACGCGCTGTGGTAGCATACTGTAATCATACGTATGTGGTTATAGGATCGAATCCTGTTCAAACGTAACATTTTCTTTCATGCAGCCAACGAGGTGTTATTTTAATTTATACAAATAATTACTATACCAAAGTTTAGTATTTTCCAAAAATCTATTTCCATATATAATTTAAGGCCTTGTTGTAAGTTTTGTTAATGTATATCTCACCTCACAATTTGTTCATCAACCAAGATGATATTGGTGATTGAAGGAAATTGATAAGTAATATTTTAAGGCAGAGTCCAATGGAATAATGTCGATGGCTCGGTAGGTACCACTTGGCAATGCTGTTTCAATATAAGAGGTTGTCCATAGGCTTGTGGAATTAGTAGGCGAATTGGAAGGCTGTTAGAAATCCTGGCACCTGTACGGGTTGTCTTAGAATCCCAAAACAATTTTTGTAGTAACCCGTTGACCGTACAACCGGGATCCCCCAAAATACAAGTGACAGTTAACAATCAGCTAAGCTGCTTGCATTACGTGGCGAGACATTCTTGTTCATTGGTAATTGTTCTACAGTTTGATTATGAATCATATTATTTACTGGATCGCCATTAAAGTAGATGAAATTCAGTATATATGCGATGATTGTAATTCAAAATAATATGGGATCTATTTGACCATTTGATATTATCATTTACAGCTACGAGACAGGGAACAACATCATCGCCGAGGAGACTGGTTTCCTAAAAAATCAAGGTGTCGAAAACGAGGAGGCGCTAGTGCAGCATGGTAGTTACTCGTATACAGCACCAGATGGCAGTATCATCACTGTTACGTACACAGCTGATGAACAGGGATTCAGGGCGGAGGGAGCCCATCTACCCACACCGCCCCCCATTCCAGCGGAGATTCAGAAGTCTCTGGACATCATTTACGAACAAATTAGAGTGCAACAGGTGGGTAAATGCCACGAACATTACCAATATCTAAACATTCAAAGAAAATTATGGCTGTATTAGGGAATTACAGAAGGAATGTATTTTTAATGCGCTTCGAAAATAATTTTCAGTATCAGACCTGCCAGTGAATCTAAATTCTCTAAAAATACGTCAATTGTGACAGGAAATTCCACTTCCAGTCTTTTCCCTCTCTGCTAAGATACACAATCCGAGTTCTACTGGCTTCCACTCTTCGGTTATAGTCTTGTCGAAATTAATGTCGGCCAGCGGAGAGATTTCCGTAGCAACTACACACAACAATTTTACCCTTACTGCGGGTTTCATATTTGTTATTACTCTAGTAATTTCGTACTTTCTATCCATCGGTTCGTATGCAACAGTGTTAACACTACACAGCCAATTTAAATTAATCTCACTATAGATACGCTTAGAAAAGATTATTTTATTAAGCTATTTCCATTTTGAATTACATTGGTCCATTTTAGTGCTCTAAAGTACGAGAGAGAGAGAGAGAGAGAGAAGGAAGGATAGTAGAAGGGGAAATAAAAAGAGAAAAGCAGATTGAGAAGTGAGGGTCATTTTATATCTAGAGTGAGAAAATACATGGTTTTCACAGAAGGCTTCCAGGCCTTGATCGCTCTGTGAAGCTCAAAATTCATCTAGATAACCTAAAATATCCTTCTACCTCAAGGAAACACCGTGTGTCTGCTTGACAAGGTTACCTGGCTAATGGGGTTTGAAAAAAAACAATTCCCTTTTATTCTGAGAACTATACGAAACCTATTAACTATGGGGCAAAATGAATTTTTACTAAATGTTATATTACAAATGTGATACATATAAATTATCACTGAACTTTGAAGACGTAAGGGCGACTTCACTTAAGACCTTTTGGCTTACATCGATTCAGTCGCTATTAGATTTCGATACAACGTCACGATCATAATATTAATTTAAATATTAACACGTTTATTTTAATTTTGTCTTCAGAAGCACTACTAATGAACCTAATATTTTCGGGCGAATCTATCTTAAAGAAAGGGTTACTGAATACAAGTTCCAGGCACATATATTATGTACTATCAGTATTTGCATAAAACTCACGGTTTCGAGAATATCGATACTTGTTCGACCTCCTGAACTCGAACAGACAGCTGATAGATGTCACGCGCAAACGAAATACGACGCACCTTAATGGCACATTTGGGTGTTTTATCACATATTCTTCGGCATAATAAAATCTTTCCCATTTCAAGAGGAAGAATTAAGTTCATTATATAAATCTGCTTGTTCTTTTCTTTTGATAGAAAAATCAATCGGGTTACGAATTTCTGAAATGCATTCAGTTTGTACACGCAGCTTTACTGAAATGGAATGTTATAACCTAAACAAGCAAAATCCTATAAAATTATGACCGAAAATTGGAAAATTGTAAATAAGCAGGAAACTTTAAAAATAAACTTATGTTTTGATCGAAGTTAAGAGGGCTTGGACAAGTGTAACGGACTTTAAAATTACGACATGCATACACAGCCTTGCTCGGAGCATTCGAAGGAACAGGCTACTCCAAAACTTAATGTATGGATACAATAATAATAATAATAATAATATGTAATTTAAGTTAATAGATGTTATGACAGGCCTTGTGACGGGCTGATCACTCGTCCAAGGAGTCCTACCAAATGTCTAAATATATTTTGAGTAAACTCCAAAAAAGGTAGCCAATACCCACAATGGGTTATAGAGCCACATATGACGATGATGATGATGATGATGATGAGATGGTATGAGGATTGGAATAAAATTAGCTGTAGTATGGTTGAGAAGCGAAATTCTTGACCTGGCCCCACAATACCTGGATGTGTCACTTCCCAGCAAGTAACCGTAAATATAATATTCTTACTGCCATATACAGATGAGTCAGAAGTATGTTCACAAACTT